TTTTAATACAATAAGTATATATTTTAGGTGTATCACCTCTGTCTTTCTTAAAATAAGTCGAATCTAAAACATCTACGCTCCTAATCGGATCATCAGATGGTCGGCGTTTAATGTGACCAAACCATCTAATATGACTTTCTCTAATTTTGTTTGTCATAGGAGCTACACCAACCCTATCACGAATATATTCATTTTGTTTTTTGTCTCTAAGTGTAAAGCGACTCATCCACCTAATCATTCTCATCTCGGCAACACTTAACTGAGTATTGTGCTTCTCTTTTAAAGGCCAACATTCAGTGCCATAAAGCATTGCAGGTGTCACCACCATCTTATAAAATTTTCCTTTCAGTCTAAGCGGTACTTTTCTATCACACAAAAGGTCCGAAGCATTCCTCCACTTCAACCAACACAACCAACTTAAATTATTCTATTAACATCCCCATTTATATTACCATTGCTTTGAACAAATACCTAAGATATCTAAATTGTTCACACCTTTTAATAATTTGATCACCCAAAGTTACACTTATGTCGCTAGAGCTACTACTACTAAAATTACATTCCATGTATTCATTTTTAGTTATACTCAAATGAAAACCTTTAGACTCCAATGTAGACCTCCATAATTCAAGTTTTTTCTGGGATTTTTCTCTCGTCTTATCCACAAGAAGAATATCATCAGCAAAAAACATACACCAAGGTACATCTTCCTATAAATGTCTAGTAAGACCATCCATAACTAAAGCAAAAAAAATATGGGCTTAAAGCTGATTTTTGATGTAATCCAAAATAAATAAGAAAATATTTGGTCAATTCTTCTTCAGTTCGAACATAAGTAACAACTCTAGTATACATTTCTTTAATGACTTGAATATAAGTCATATCAACACCTTTCTTCTCAAGAACTCTCCCAAGGATATCTCTTGGAACTTTATCATAAGCTTTTTTTTAAATCAATAAAAATCAAATGTAGATTCTCCTTATTATCTCTGAACTTCTCCATCAAACCTCTCAATAAATGTATAGCTTCCATAGTAGACTAAGCTTAAACTATATATTATAAAATTTTATGTTAAATCTAAACATGTATAGACTATATTAAAGCTTCACACCATTAAATTGCTAATGGAATATATTGTATGATGAAAGAACTCATTTGACCCCGTTCGTTGCATTAATGCAACTTAATAACACTACTAATTATATTTTAAATCCATTTTGCTAACTGATTGCTTCTTTAAGGGGTTTAAGGCCAAACTCACACATGCATAGGCTTAGACTCCGTTCGATAAATAGTTTGAGCGTGATGAGGTAATGAGCCAGTCTTTAGTTAGCACATTAGAATGTGATCCGGCTCATTTTAAAAATGTTGAACTAAAATGCACATAAAGTATATTAAAATTTCTGATTGGACTTTTTTTTGTCATTACAATAAATTAGTTTGGAACCATAATCAATCATGTTTTTATAATAAATGAGTATGCTCTTAAGCCGGCACAAATTTGTAAAACTATATTCAAATTAAAGCATAAGCAAGCTCAAATTCACAGAATTAAGTTCAAACTTGAGCTCAAAATTTATTAATCAATCACTTTAAAGCTCAAATTAGAGTTAGCTCTTACTTGACTTTCTTTATAAAATACAGTATAATAGATCAACAGCATAAATCCATGGCGGTGAGAAAATTGATTAGTAATCTTATCCAGATAGACTTCTCAATTTAAATTTTTTTCTTTTATTTTTCAAATTTACAGCTTAATCCTTTATAAGATTCCTAGCGCTGCTTAATTCTTTGTAAGAACCTCTGCAATGTGGATCTTTCCTTGAACTTTCAGAAACTTTCTTAATATAAGAACAAAGAACTAAAAACAAGTAAAACGCAAAATCTGCTAGATATAACATAAGAACAGTACAAAAATTAAAGGAAACCGAATTCCTATTCTAACTTCAGAGTCTGTAAACTTCAGTCTCCATGATTCGGTACGATCCTCAGCAAAGTAAACAAATGTTGGGCCATAAATCGCTTTGCTGCTGCTCTGAACATCCTCTTCCATCCCTGCAAAACAATGGCGATAAAAAAGGACGATGAAACTCATCTCTTAAATTTCTTCTAATCTGCATTTATTTCAGTTTCTGATTACGCAATCCCGTATTAGGAGCTATGATAGTTTTCTCCACTTTGCAGATTTAAATAAGTAAAAAAGCTCACTCTTTTTGGGGGTGAAATAGAAGAATAGTCCAGCCTTCTCTTAAAGCTCCCCTGCATCACCTTCATCATCTTCTTTTTCTTCTTCTTGATCATCTTTTCCTTCACTCTTCTCAGCCCAACCGGAGAAAAAAACCGAGAAGCGCCGCAGATCTTATCCTGACATATAGAGCAGGACATATTCCGGGCTCGAGGTAGCAGCGGCGACCAGATCGCGCTCTGAGAGTAGTCGAAGCCGAACGCCGAGTCGTCGGGGAATTTGCAGAGGAGTTCTCGTGACATGGAAGGGTCCAGATACTCGACGGTAATCACGCGCTCGGCTAACATTTCTTTCTGATCGGTTGATGGAAGGCTGCAGGAGATATGGAACGATTTTGGTGAGGGTTGAGGAAGATGAGAAGATGGGGAGCGAGGCAGGGGAGGGATTAGGGATGAGAAAAGTGACCGTTGGGCGGAGACGGTTCTGTATATGAAAATTTGACCGTTGGGGGGTTTTTTTTTTAAAAAAAATATATATGAGTGGTTAATTTGTCCTTTATTGTCTATGATGAGATCTATTAAGGAAAGGAGGGTGATTAATTTGTCCTTTATTGTCTATGATGAGATCTATTGAGAAAGGAAAGGAGGGTGGAATCCGGGTTTTGAGATAGGTACGAAAAATGTTTGCTGAAATAATGCTAAATTATTCAAGAATTTGCCCTGAAATACGGTATGAATTGTGTGGAACAGAAAAAAAAAAAAAAGTCTCTTGGGATCTTGAAGTATTTTTGTGATAAAATGTTTTGTTATATAATTTTAAAGGGGAATTTACGTATACATACATGCCACTTGAATTTTATTATTTATGTAAGAAATTTATTAACTATATAAATACCACTCAAATTTTTATGAAACATTAAAAAAAAATCACTGCTTTAACTTTTAAAAAAATGAAGTAAACATGAAATTTATATTTTCATGTTTTTTTATAGGTTGCATGCATGTAATAAATAAGAATTGAATGGTATGTATGGAAATCTTCTTATTTTAAAATATGAATAATGTGAAAACTAGGCATATATATACATAATGATAATATCTCGAGGTGTCTTCAATAAATTTTGTTATTTGACACGAATCCCGATATAATTAGCTCGTAACATTTTCTGCACAAAGAAATATTTAAACTTACATTAAAAATCATCTTGAATTTAGATTTTATAAAACTTATGGTCAAAATGATCGACTCGACAAGAAAAACTTAATGACACCAAAATTGACTCAGCCTGAGTAAAGTCAAGTCTAAATCAATTCGTTAAATCACTTTCGGATGCTTTGGGTGGTAATTAGAAGTTCAATTGGATTCCAAATCTGACAAGTTTATAGTTAAATTGAGTGTCTGGACAAGATGAGTCACACATCTAAGATCACTCAAATCAAACATCAATAAGACATTTAAATGTCCACAATGCGCCATCTGATTGAGAGTATCATTCCCGATCATTCGATGGAGTGGTCAAAATTACCACCTTATTTGAAGGGAGGCCTCTCTCATGCTCTGTAAATAGAGACATACTTCCTTCATGAAAAGGGACCTAGACCTTCAACCAGAGGAAGATTTAGACATTGAGTTGGTTCGCAAAGAAAGAGCTGAATTTCATTATCGTTCTAAGTCAAAGACTTTGCAAATGCTTTGCACTCTTGCAATTGTTGACTGTTGTTAAACACCGCTCGCTGGCCACCGTCGATCGTCTTTGACCGTCTCCTACTTGTTGCGATGAAGGCCCCATAGAGTCTGGATGTACGATAAGGAGTAATAAAACATCACACAGAGTAACGACCGACGTCACAGATTAATTAAGCACCGTGCGAAGTAAAGACAAACGTCACAGAGTAATGAGGCACCATACAAAGTAGTGCATCATCTTGAACACGGTGAAATGATGCACCTTAAAGAATGTGCATTGAAGTCCCAACTACAACTGTTGTCGACTGTTATCCAATGAATCCATCTTAATACAACCATTATACTTTGAGGAACTATATCACCCTTTCTCTCTCGTTGGATGTTGGCATGAGTGTCTACTCGCCAACTTATATCATTCTGACTAGGCTAACTCACTTGAAATTTTTTATTTTTGGGTTTTCTGCAAAAAAAATTCTTGTTTCCTTACTTATCACTTCAATTACATACGTTTCTGCTTGACTTTTGTGCAGTGCTATGACACTAAATAATTATTTTATATCCACAAATTTTTGGCACATAACCATTTAGCCTCATTTATGGGAACAAAAATCCCAACACCAAAGAACTTGTAAAATTTGTTGAATGACTACCAGATGCAATATTCACAACAACGGAGCATTGAGATCTAACACCCGCCACTCAAGCAAGACAATCACAGAGCCTGGGATGTCAAGGCTCTGCCTTTTTATCCCCTGAAAGATGTTACCCTGGCGGTGAAGGCACCTTAGGTCCTTTTATGAAATATCGAATGTGCAGGATGGAGAAGTCTCATAATAAGATTCTTTAGCTCGTATGTAAGGTTCAATAATCAATGCTCGCACTACGATAGCCCACATCTAAGTTCACTCAAATCAAACATCAATAAGACATTTAAATGTCCACAATGCACCATCTGATCGAGAGTATCTTTCCCGATCATTCGATGGAGTGGTCAAAATTACCACCTTATTTGAAGGGAGGCCTCTCTCATGCTCTGTAAATAGAGACATACTTCCTTCATGAAAAGGGACCTAGACCTTCAACCAGAGGAAGATTTAGACATTGAGTTGGTTCGCAAAGAAAGAGCTGAATTTCATTATCGTTCTAAGTCAAAGACTTTGCAAATGCTTTGCACTCTTGCAATTGTTGACTGTTGTTAAACACCGCTCGCTGGCCACCGTCGATCGTCTTTGACCGTCTCCTACTTGTTGCGATGAAGGCCCCATAGAGTCTGGATGTACGATAAGGAGTAATAAAACATCACACAGAGTAACGACCGACGTCATAGATTAATTAAGCACCGTGCGAAGTAAAGACAAACATCACAGAGTAATGAGGCACCATACAAAGTAGTGCATCATCTTGAACACGGTGAAATGATGCACCTTAAAGAATGTGCATTGAAGTCTCAACTACAACTATTGTCGACTGTTATCCAATGAATCCATCATAATACAACCATTATACTTTGAGGAACTATATAACCATTTCTCTCTCGTTGGATGATGGCATGAGTGTCTACTCGCCAACTTATATTATATCATTCTGACTAGGCTAACTCCCTTGAATTTTTTTATTTTTGGCTTTTCTGCAAAAAAAAATTCTTGTTTCCTTACTTATCACTTCAATTACATACGTTTCTGCTTGACTTTTGTGCAGTGCTATGACACTAAATAATTATTTTATATCCACAAATTTTTGGCACATAACCATTTAGCCTCATTTATGGGAACAAAAATCCCAACACCAAAGAACTTGTGAAATTTGTTGAATGATAACCAGATGCAATATTCACAACAACAGAGCATCGAGATCTAACACCCGCCACTCAAGCAGGACAATCACAGAGCCTGGGATGTCAAGGCTCTGCCTTTTTATCCCCTAAAAGATGTTACCCTGGCGGTGACAACACCTTAGGTCCTTTTATGGAATATCGAATGTGCAGGATGGAGAAGTCTCATAATAAGATTCTTTAGTTCGTATGTAAGGTTCAATAATCAATGCTCGCACTATGAGATGTACCTCAAAGATAGTGTATCGAAGTCTGATAACTACTCCCAACTAAAACTGGTTCCGACGGAGTGCAATGAATTTTTTTATATACAACCATTGTACTTCTAGAAATTGTGTATTCCTTTCCTGCCAGTGGGGCAAGGGCTCGAGCGTGCACTTATCAACTTATAATGAATCGTTCTGATTAGACAAAGCCCCGTGTTTTTTTACGTTTTGGTGTTTTTAACATAAAAATATGTCTCTACATGTCACTTCAATTACTTGTGTGTGTGAATTGAGTTTTTGTGCAACATTAAGAAGCTAAATAATCACACAATTGTCTTAAATCTTCTGGCACATAACAAACATTATTAAAGCCGGTCATGAATTTTTTTAGCAAAAAATTGTAATCAAAATGTGTGTGAATGCGATGCACATTGATTGAAAATAATACAAAAAAAATTTCAGATTTCATGATCTAGTGCTTACCCTATAAAAAAAAACAATTGCAATTAAAATAGCTTTTGCATTTATTAATTATCTCCTAATCACTATTTTAACTAAAACCGTAGCCTAAGTGACTAAACCCGTAGCCTAAGTGCACTCAGCCTATTTGTCTTTTCATGAGAAATTCAAAACCCCAACCTTCATAATAATCACTCATTTTTAATATCTATTTCAACCAATTTTGATTCTCTGCACTAATAAGATCATCAAAAATAATTTTCACAAGTTATTAGTAAAATAATGGTCTACGAATGATTTGCGTTGATGAGTGTAGGCATTATATATATATATATACATGCGTGGCAACAATGAGTGGTCCACACAATTTTGGTGTTAATTTATTTAACATGATGAATCTAGTCTTTTATAGGATTTGAGAAATTGAATTAATTTTATAAGTGATGCACCGCCAATAAATTTTCATTATCTAACATAAATATTGATATATATTTTTAATATTAATTATTCTAAATTTGAGGGTCTCAATTTCAACAAATTTATAGTCAAAACTGACTCTTGACAAAACGAACCCAATGATATAAAAGATAGGCCAATTTGGATCTAATCAAGCCTAAATCAAGACATTGAAGTGAATTTGGAGGTTTTGGATTGTTAGTTGAATGATCAAATGGACTCCGAATTTGACATATTTTTATTAAAATCAAGCGTCTCGACGAGAAATTTAATAAGCTTAAGATCACTCAATTCCAAGGTTATGAAGGCATTCAAAACATTAAAAATTTATTTATCATCAAGGAGATCAATATGAGTCATATGATCATGTGTGGAATTCATTGAATGATCAAATGAAGTCTAAATTTGACATATTATATTCAAATCAAGTGTCTCAATGAGAGGAGTCCATCAAGAATAGGATTACTCACTTATGAGGTCATTAAGACATTTAAATCATAAAAATATCATTTATCATTAAATGGGATCAATGTAGGTCATCTAATTAGGTCGTTGGGTAAGTTATTCGCCAAAGGGCTAAAATATCCTTCATCTATAGCTTAAAAATAGACCCCCTCCTTTTACTTGAAGGGGAAAAAGAATAAGAGAAATTCCAAAGCACGTCAAATACTCAAAACCCACGGATAACTCTTGGCCTCCATAGCCTCTGGCCATAGTTTGACATTGCTCACCAACCACTAGTGACCAACATTTGTTGTCACTATTTGTCGTCATATGTGAATCTTATTTGTAAATGTCGCATCTCAAATACGGATGTAACGTGTAACACTTGTATTGAAAAATCAGAGATAAAT